TCTTTTCTCTCTTTGACAATTTTTTGTGTTGAAACTTTGAAAAAAAAAATATTATTGCAAAGATATAAATTAGCGAATCTTATATCTTACGTTGAACAGTAAGATTGTTTATTATTAATGAGTTAATGCAGAATGTCTGTTCTCGGGAAAAACATGAGAAATCTGGAATTTCTAGGAATTTTATTGGGACTCGGAGAATTTTTTTAAAAATTCTTTCTTTAGTAATTTTTCTCTCATATGAGCAATGGACAATCTATCAATAAGTCAAGTGAATATGTCTATGTAAAATATATATTAAAATATTGTTTTTTATATATTAAAATTTGTTAAATAATATGTATTGAGGGATCTGGAATTTTCAGGGATTTTATTGGAATTTTTAAAAAAAATTTCAAGAATTTTTTTCTCTATTTGACAATTTTTCTCATACTGTGAGCAGTTGATAATTGAAATATCCAACAAGTCAAGTGCTGAATTGTATATTTAAAATATATATAATATATATTAATAAATTTTTTAATATTAATATTATATATACTAAATAATATATATTAAAACATATATATATATATATATATATATATATATATATTTGTCATATATTCATTATCTCAACAAAATGTTGAATATCCAATAAAAATTCTTTATTTTATTGATGAAAAAATGAAAAAATACTTTACAAGTAAACAAAGGTCTATTTTGTAAACGCTATTCAATTTTCTTAATACATTTACAAATATAACACTTAAAACATAAATGATTTGCATGAATGAAGAGCGTTAAATTGCATCTGAAAAAATCTTTAAAATATTTCGAAATTTTATAGTAATTTTATAATAAAAACCTAGGAAGATCCGAAAGTTTTCAAGGAATCTTTTTACAAAATTCGAGTGGACACCCTGTTAATATGAGTTTCAATAATTCTTAACGCGCAACACAATCGTGCAAATCATTATTTATACGCTTTCCCGTCTCAAAATCCTTCAAGACCATTCATTATCGACTCTTTAAGTTTGTGGCTTATCTTTGACACATATCCTTCATCCGCGTTATTCACGCCCATGCTCTATCGACAGAGCATTCAGGAAGGGAGTCGGACAAACCTTGAAAAGAATTCCATTCGTCGGCTTTACACCCATCTCGGAGAAGAGAAGGGCACGTATTCGCTCTTACGCTGTTCCCCTCTTTTCCTTCTTTTTCCTTCCACAACGTGCATAGGCGGTTGAAGGGGTGGGAAGGGGGGGGACATACATACGTGGAAACTGTAGATTTCATCGAACGGGGGGGGGAGGGGGAGGGGTGGTAGAACGGAGCAAAAAGTAGGTCGATCGAAGCCCCGGCCTTTTGCTGAAAAAGCTCCATTGTCGCTTCGAGTGGACCGCCGTCGAGGGAATTACCTTCTTCCCCTCTTCACACTTCCCCTCCCCTTGTCCGCAACGTCATCCCTTCGCGTTACGGTGATGCTTTCTTTTTTTTTTGCCAATTAAAGCCTCAAACGTCTTCCTCCTTCTCTCTCTCTCTCTCTCTCTCTCTCTCTCTCCCCCCCTTCTCTCCCCTCTTTTTCTATCTCTCGCTGTCTTTCTCTTTCCTCCCTTTCTTTTGCTCTCGTATCCCACGGGGAGTTCACGGCAATAAGGAAGTTCCGCGAGTTCTCTTACCCATACTATGAATCCGTTCTTCCGAGCGAAATTTCACGGGCCATTGACGCTCCGGTCTTTGATATGCCGGTTGGAGAACAAGCCGGGTCCCTCCTAAGTGGATACAAGTCTCGAGAGAGAGAAAGAGCTCCGGACAGGTATCGCATGGCGATTTTTGCTTTGCACGTAACGTGACCGTAATAGCGCGATTCTACGTATAGGGAAATCTCGGGGACGAGTGTACGAGTCGGGGTAATTTTATGCTGATAACGCGGAAGATTGTATGCGTTAAAGGGGATAGACCTTTCTCCACTTCGTAAAATCGCCTCTTATTTTAATACCGCGATATCTCGCGATATTATCCTTCGTTATAACCGGTCATTTCTCTCTCTTTTGTACCTGGGGATGGTTAATTTCAATTTCGCTCGAATTTTGCGTTTGAACAATCCGTAGCCGGAAGAATTAGATGTACGGATTTTACGCCGACGATTGCGACGTTTTAATTGCCGGATAAAAAGAACGTTGTACTCCGGAAGGATTCTCGTTGTAATAAAATAACGCTAGTGTATTCACAAGACGTATTTTATCATTTCCATTTATTAAGAGAAAAAACAATTTTCATTTTTACTTTATACCCCTGGTTATAAGATCGTGGCCGGATTATATCGGTACATCTGCTCTCGTTAGTTAAAACTCCCCGTTAGTTGTATACACGCGAAAAGTAAAAATATATAAATCCAGGAGAGAAAACGCACCACATTTTTTTGCTAGGGGAGCAAAAATATAGGAATAGGAAAAAAAGAGCGAGAGACCGAAAAATGGGTCGGCCGATGGTAACGCGGATTTATGGTAGCGACTCTGGAACTGACGGACACGCGGCTGGATCTGTCTCCGACGTCGTTACACGTCATCTTGATACACGCCAGCTTAACATTTGCGGATGATGCTTGCGCGCAATTGTAATTTTGCCTTGAATCCGGGAGTGGCCGTTGGCCTCCCCGGAGGAGGAAAGTTCGAGGAGGCGAACCATCGTAAATCGCCAACTCAATAAAGCAGGGCATAACACTTTATCTCAAGCATAAGTGCACCCGCCGACTTCCGTGCGTGGGTGAGAAACATGGTCGCGGTATGAAAAGATGTTGCCGGGTCCGCGGGTTATGGTCAAAGTTGTTCTTCCGCAACAAAATCCACCATATATCAACGTGTTACCAGTTCGCGGGGGTGAATTTGCATCACCCCCTTCGGGGGGAGGGGGAGGGAGAGGGTTTACGTCGCGCATCTAGAATTTTTATTGCCGCATATCGTTCCGTAACGGGTCCGTGAGTTAATAAAACGTTTAATTGCGAGTTTACGAGGATGGGATAAGGAGATAAAAGGGAATTCTCTTTTGTTTTCGAGAAGAGGAGAGGAAAGAATTCTTATTATCCGCGTCTTTTCGACTGAAGAAGAGAGGCGATGACGGACGTTACGATTCTTATTGGCTGAAGCCATATGTGAGATTTGCGGAAATTGTTTATTAAATTTATGCAAATTTAGTTTGATGATACAGGGTGTTTTCTCCTCTTGAAAAGTATGAAAAATCTGGAATTCTTAGACATTTCTCTCTCTTTTGTACCTGGAGAAAACGTGGAATTCTCATGAAATTTTATTGGGACTCGGGGAATTTTTCAAAATATTCTCCTTTTGATATTTTACTCTTACAGTGGCAATCGTTGATAAACCGAGTTATGTATTATGTGTTTAACATAAATATATATCTATCTCTATTTATATATTATATAAAAAATAAATAAATAAAAAAATATATAAAGTATATAAATTAATAAATATATAAAAAAATAAATATAAATGTAAGCATATACAAGAAAATAAATTAAATATATTACAAATATATCTGTCTTTTTATTCAATATCTTAATAAAGTATTGAATGTACAATACTTATTTTTATTGTAAATTTTAATGATAAGAAATGAAAATGTTATACAGATAATATTTACTTTACGAAAGCTATAATTTTTTTCACATTTAGCATTTGAAGCTTAAGTGTTTTTTCTTCGTACAAGTGAAGAGCATTAGAAAACACATACAATAAAAAAATTTATCTTAAAAGACATCAAGTAATCTCTTAAAATATTCTCTTTACTTAGAAGAATTTTAAAGAAAAATAGAGGTCAGGAATCTTTTGTATACATTCAAATAATAGAATTTCTTTCGAGAGTTTCAAGCAATAAATATCGCGCCTTTGGCAATCGGGAATTTTATTTTTTCGCGCTAATCGGTGCTCAAGCTTCTACATTGTCGGAACATACACAGTAAAAAATTTTGTGTTAAATTTTTTAACATATTTCACATGTCCTAATTTATCCACTCTAATTTTAACGTTAATTTACCAGAAGGCAAGTATGTAAATAAATAACACAAGTAATATGTTTAAAAAAATAACACAAAAGTGTAACACTTAAACTTTATCTAGAAATAAAGTTTATGTTAAATTAACATATTTATAATGTTAAATTTAATTAAAAGAAAATGTTATTCTTACATTTTTATGATAAATAACAGAAGAGATATGTCGATTTAACATATGGAAACTGTTATAGAGAGAAAAATAACACAACTTATCTGTTCATTTTAACATATAACATATTTCATCAAAAATTCATGCATTTATATTAATTGTATTGTTTTAGCTCCTAGAAACGGTGAATATTAACTCAACGCAGAAATGTCAAAATAACGCAACGATAATATGTTACATTAACATAGGAGTATGTTAAAAATTTAACACAAAAGTTTTTACACGAGAAACTTTTAACAGAAATACAAAATATTTTTTACCGTGCATGAATGATAGCGAATATTGAGGAATTTGCCAAAGTTCCATCACTCTCCGATTTACGATAGCGAGTTCACCCTTGGATATTGACGCGGTATGCCATTTACATCGGCAATCCGTAAGGTCGCAAACTGCATCCGCCGCAAGAAACTTTGCAGGGCGACGTGATTCCCGCATAGGGAAGATCGCAAAAACGCACTATCGGCAGCTGCAAGCCATTCCGGTTCATTGAAATTCGCGAATGCATTACGTGACTCGTAACGAGACAAGTAGACGGTCTGTTTCACGTCGTGGAAACATCCGTCCGTAAAAAGTGTCTTCCACGATTGAGTTTTCGAGTCGCTGAATTTACGATTCGTCGCACTGTCAACTCCGAGAAAGATTGCTTCTCTCTCCCCATTCTTTTTTTGCTCCTTCTCTCTGTCCCGAATCACAACAACGAGATAAGCAATACTCGTTAATAAGACAGGGTTCATAATTACATTGTCGGGCGCTTTATTAAAAGCCAGTTTCGTGTGATTTCAGATGAGTTTAGGAGCAAGGTGGCTTGCGAGAACGACATTATCAATCTCGTTTGCTTCCCCAGCCAGAGGGTCGCGATCTTCAGCGCGTCTTTTGGTAGAACAGAATACGAATCCATGCAATGTCCGCAGCCACGGGGCGTACAAGAGGAAAGTAAGTACTATTTTAAATTATATCATAATTATTTCAATTATAATTCACTTTTTATGTTTTATTTTCATCACCAATGTTTGTGACTTATCACCTGCTTGATATGTTCGATATATTTCTTGTTAGAGAAATTTTAAAGAATCGAGGAAAATAATTTTTTTTCTCGTCATATGAGCGATGAGATTTGAAAATATTATTTTTACGAATTTAAATTGTATTTATTCTATTTATTTTTTTACAACTTACATCTCTTATTGTTAGATTTATTTTTATTTATGACATATTTTTAAATCATATTATATATTAAGTAATTTTTATTTTTATGATTTAAACCATATTATATATTTAAAATTCTTTAAATAAATTTATTATTCTATAGGAAAATTATTTTATAAGTAGATAAATTTTATAATCACTTTATCAATTATTTTATATTTTTTATAATCACTTTATCAATTATTTTATTTTTTTTTTAACTATTATTATTATTATTTTAATTAATAATATTATTTATTATTAGAATAATCGAATATAAACACGATCGTTAAATGCGCCGTGAACTCATTCACGTGCTCTTTCAATTTCGATGTCGTCTCACTTTTATAACATGTCGTTCCGGATACGTCGTTCATCCTTGCAGAAAATAATAATGCGCAGACACTTCGAAGTTACAGTCGTTAAGTATTTGTTCAGGCGTAAATACTGCATGTCATTAAAGTAATAACATTCATCGTACAGCGTCTCAGCATCGTATATAAATCTCAGAGGGATGGGAGACTCAATCTGGACGACAAATTACAACAGCATTTTTCGATACTTTCCAAACTCTGAATATCGATCAAGAGATATCGATCGAACTTGGGCCGTCCATTTCCTTCCACTTGACGATGAGTTTTTCGGCGGAAGTGCCTCTCCGACTCGATGTTTGTCCTAGTTTATTGTCATACTTGGCGACGAGATTGCGACTCCCTTCCATCCGCGGTCGCCCAAGTTTCGGATGAGGTTCCCGCGACTCGAGGGCAGAAAATTAAAGTGGATTTTTCTGCGGATTAAAAAAGAAAGGCGAGCGTTTCGAGAATAGAGTGCAGTGCAAATTAAACGACCGCATTCGCGTGCAAACATGATGCCCAATGTTGTCGTAGCTTGTTAATCGCGAGGGGCGGTTCACGTGACAATCATCATCGAAACGAGACGACGAGTTTTGTTACTTTAGATTCAAGAAGAACGAGGAACTTGCCGCTCGTTGTTCGGGAAGAAAAAGAGGGAAACGATGGTTTTATTTACCTTTTTAAAGTAAATTCTTTTAACTCACGAATAAATGCTCCGAGTCGACCGCTCGTGTTCCCACAACGGCTTTTTATCCCCGTCCAATCAATCGATTCTTCCGAAAGCGCACAGTTGCTCGGCTCTCGTTGAACGAGAGGACATAAACGAGAATGGGTCACCGCGAAGACCATTGTCGTGTTCTTAGTGAAGTGCTACTCTGACGATATTGTCTAACTGTGAAACATTTAAACGTTAGTTCATCAGTTTACATTTAGAATACTCTTGTTCATTTCACCTGATTCTCATGTTCTCTTACCTCCAATATCTCTCGAATCTTGACGATAATAGACGAATTTATTATTGTGCAATAGGTATAGATAGTAGATAAAAAAATATTAAAATGTTTACGTATGCAATTTTTCAATTAGATTTTAAATTATTAATGTGAAATAATATCTATTGATATTTAATCAGAATTCGATTTGAAATATTTTATAAGTGAAAAATGTATCAAATATGCATATTTCCCGTTCGAGAGATTTTAAAAAATCAAATAAAATCATTTTCTGATTACGAGCGGTAAAATTTGCAAATATTATTTTCACGAATTTGTATTTATTCTATTTATTTCTCTTCTACAATATCTCTCTTAAGTTCATTTTTATATCATATTTTGTAAAATTTTATTATATCACATTTCAAAAATATATTATACATATTTAATTCTTTAAATATATATTATATTAAATAAATATTATTTATTATATTTAAATTAAATATTAAGGGTAAATTTTAATAACTTTTTAAAAATGTTATATTATATTTTCAATATATATATATATATATATATATATATATATATATTTCTCTCTCTCTCTCTCTCCCTCTCTCTCCCTCTCTCCCTCTCTCCTTCTCTCCCTCTCTCTCTCCTTCTCTCCCTCTCCCCCTCTCTCTCTCTTCCTCTTTCTTTCTCTGTATGTGCTGTGTGCTTATATTTTTATTATTTTTACGGGACATCAATATTTTTAAATAATATTTTATCTAAATGGAGTGCTTAATAATTAATTAATGGAACACTTTAATGATTATATATTAAGTATTTTCAGTCCCCAGTTAAAATCTGCACATTATTACGTCTGTATAATAAAACTAGGGAACAAAGATTCCTTACGAGTTAACTTTATGAAAAGAAACTTTATTTACTTGCTTGTTTTTTGATACTTAACGGAAAATATCGTTTCTCCTCTCTTTATAAGCGAAAGAAATTCTGGTTTCACAGCTGTCTGAATAGCTCGGTTCTGCTCTCGATGAGCCAATAAATCTCTCTCCGCTTCTCCGCAATTCCTTGGTCCGTTCGTCCGGTCATCATCCGCCAACTCGTAGAACGAGGTATCCTTTAAGAGTAGGTCGAGTGGTTCGCTTGCCGCTTAAGCGGCGACAATAAGGAACAAAATCAGCGGAATAGCCCGCCGCGTTACGTTGTAGTGCTTTTTCGGGCTTCTTTACCTCGAATGCCTCGCGGTCGACCTGATATCCCTTCAGAAGACATCGTCACGTTTCACGACGACGTGAGCGCGGGACGTATATTTTCTCGCACAAAAGAATATCGGAAACTCTCTCCGGAGACTTCCTGCTCTTCTTGAATTGCTTCTTTTCTATCCGTCTACGTCAAATCGAATCGATAACACGTCCCTCTCTCTCTCTCTCTCATTCTTTTTCCAACACGACTGTACACATATTGTCGATCAGCTTTTCTGGATTCTCTTGTCTGATAATGGAAACATATATTATATATATATATATATATATATATATATATATATATATATATTTGTATATAATATTTATATTATTTATATATTATTTATATATAATATTTATATTATTTCTATATTATTTATATATAATATTTATATTATTTCTATATTTCATATATTATTAATATATATTTTCTTTAATGAAGAAATAATTATACATGTGGAAATTGCTTTATACAACGTTATATAATTTTTGGGAATAATGGAAACATATATTATTGATATATTTATATATATATAATATTTATATTATTTATATATTTCGTATATTATTAGTATATTTTTTTTAAATGAAGAAATAATTTTATGTATGTGGAAATTGCCTTATATAACGTTATATCATTTTTTGACAGTAATACAATTTATTCTGTAGAGAGATATATTACTAATACGATTTTATAATAATATTTTTTTTATCGGTTTGATTTTATTACAGTTTTATCGTTACTGTTGCAGCCTGCATGATGGATTTCGCAACGGAAACCGTAATGCAATTATGCCACGGTAAACGACGATGCTCGGTGGTGGCTAACAGCACAACGTTTGGTAGACCCGATCCTTGCAGTCCGAACAGCAAGACCTATCTCAAAGTCGTGTATACCTGTGGTGAGTGACAAGAAGTTTTCACGTTTTCAGTTTTGCTGTTGGACAAAATAATTAAACATTAAATAATTATACAGCCAGTGTCTCTCCTAACGTCGTAATTTAGAGCTAAAGTCGCGTTTGTTTCTCGCAAATAATATAAACGCGCTACTAGACTCTTAACGAGAGGTAGGGTTGCACGAGATACCAAGATTGTCTTGATATTGTCTTGTCTTGTCTTGAATTTCAAGACAAGATCAAGACAAGATTTTTAATTAGACAATACCAAGACTAAGACTGTCAAGATTATTAGTCTTGTCAAAATTATTGGTTCTCAAAAAAACTAAAATATTTATATTCGTAAAGAAAACAAATCACTATATACGAATTTAAAAAAATTTTATTCAATAAAAACATTTATATTAATAAATTTAAAAACATTTAATATTAATATAATATAATATTTTTATAAATTAGAAATCAAACTCGCAAATTTTAGACATTAAAGAGCATTTCACCCAGAAATTGATGCACATTAGTGCTTTTAAAGACTTTGTAATCTGATTCTATTTTTTGACATAGTCAGAGTTCCTATTGAGAAAAGTCTTTCTACTGGCACGGAAGGTAGCTGAACTTAAAATGTCTCGAGCCATTTTTGACAATATGGCATAAATATGAACCTGATTTTTTTACCACTCCAAAATATTTATATCTGCACATTCCCTTGGAGCCTGTAAATAGTCATTAATTTCTGTTTTCTATGAAGCAGTAAATGTTCTTTTATGTAAATAGGCGGCATTTATATCGATTACATAGTAATAATTATAATTAAAATATAATACAATAGTAATAATTATTTCAAATTATATTACAAAAATTATGTTAAATATTATTTAAATAATTTTTTAATATTAGATAAAAAATTGTTAATAAAATCGAGACAATACAAGACGAGATTTTTGCCACCAATATTCACTCAAGACCAAGACAAGATTTAAATTTTTGAAAATTTTCAATACCAATACAATATTTTTACGAATTGTCTTGTCTTGGGTCTTGTGCAACTCTAACGAGGGGCAACAGCTTTGGCTAACGTTGAGAGAGACACGGTATATCGGCAGCGTTTACAGCTCGATGCAACGATGGACAAGCTGTTGGCAAGACAATCGAAGCAATGATATCGCGAGTAACAATAGTGGGAGCGGGGAATATAAAATCCGTTATATACACAGAAAAGGAGAAGTAAAATTTCTTATTAAAGCGGAAAAATTACACGAGCGTTTCTTTCCCGAGGGAACGTGGCCGACGGCGATTCAGAGCGTTGCGATCCTTAAAAAGTAGCGAGAAAAAGTGATATTACGGAGCATGCAATAACGTGTACGGTAGAGGATTTATCCGAAGCTCGTTGCACAATGGCATATAATGAGCGTGGCAAGGCTCCTCTTTGAAGAGAAGTTATTTTATTGCGAGGTTCGGCGTGGCTTGGCTCGACAGCTTTAAACAGGATGACGTCGTCGCGGATCCCGCTGTCTCAACCCGGAATGGGATTCTTTTCGGACTGAATTCCGTCCTCGACATTTTTAATGGGCACTCCACTCGGGGTCCGATGGATCTTCTCGCGAAGGAAAATTGTTGCGAAAACTGTCGATGGAAAAATAACGGGCGGCATCGAGCAAACGTCCTTAACAAGGGGAAAAAATAAAATTTTCATCGTTGTAATACGAGGTGTAATTTTTAGTCCGCGAATTTTATTCGCTTGTTTACATGAAACTTGAGATCGGGATGCCTATATTCGTCGTGAGTTTCTAAAATTGCGACGGATTCGCGGTTATACGAGCTGTTTCACGCAAGCTTCGTGAAATACTCGAATAGTGAATTCCAGACGTAAAATAAAGTAAAAAATCCTAATACAACAATTTTGAGGTACCACAGTAGTTTTTTTAAATTATCTGTCATCTGTCATTGATTTTTATAAATTAGATGATTTTGAGTTTTGTTGCACAGCTGATTTTATTTCTTATATGTGTGAATACTATCATAATCAGCCGATATTAATCATATTTATTTTTTTCTTAAATATAATAATTTAGATGATTGATTAACATTTAAATGGAATTATAAATTTTATATTTTCACATATTTAAGACACATTTTTTCCTTTAATCGGAGAAGCATTTATAGAAATCAATTTATTCATCAACTTTCTTGTAAATAAAAGTCAATAACAAACGACAAATTGATACGTTTATATTGTATCATTACGGGCTTAAAAGTACGAATTCTACAGCAAACTTTAATCAATTATAGGTCAAAAATAATTGTAGCCTCGATATTTTCGTGTTAGAGTTTCAGACTCCATTTTACCTCTAGAGTAAACTATTAAAATATTGTACAGAGGTAAGACACCTTGTATAGCCTAGTTGCAAAATTCGCGCTCGTGTACAGACTCTGCCCGCGACAAAATCCTCCGATCTTCTCAACGAAGGCGCAACCAAGGTGCAATAACACTTTGCGCATACGAATTGAGTGACGTTAACGCAGGAAAAGTTCTATTCCGTACTACTACTTGTGCCAGGAGCTTATATGACACCCACGCGAAAACGAGTAAAGAGGTAAAGGGACGCATGATTCTCCGTCCCCGCGATGTTATTCCGCTCCCTCGATCTCTTTTATTCCCGCGAGCGAAATTACGCGCACTCTGTACATTTTGTCAGCGTAGCGGGCTCTTGTAAACAAGTATTACTTTCTGGCGAAGCGCCTCGTTTACATTAATTGTAAGCATCTTTTATCTCTTTAACAAAGGAACGAAGGTAAAGGGGAGGTGGCACCCCTCCCTCGCGTTGCGAAAATACCCCCGTAATTTTTCTTGGAGCATGTAAAACTTTTATTTCTCTACCGCGCACCGGCTCTCGTAAATTCTTCGCTGTAAAACTTTGAGAATCGCTAACGAACGAAACCGGAGGATCGAGAGAATATCATGGAAGATAATATTAAGCATAATGAATATTATTATTTCCTAACTTAATCTCATTTAAAATCGGTTTGAAACATTTTCGTTTTTAATCTTACTTTAATAGCGCTTAAGGGATTATGTCTAGTCAGCAGGCCGAAAAAAGTATAATGTTTGGGAATTTTTTTTGAGAAGTGTAATAATGTTTTTTTAGAAATCAATTTTTATTCAAAAGTACAAATATTAAGGATGTTATTATATTTTTTTTTTATAAAATATTGAAAAATGTAAAAGTTATAACTATTCTCCCGAATACTGTTTTTTAAAAAGTGCTCCGCGGTCAGCAGTACTATTCGAAACTGATTCATTTGATATTAAAAATTCGATAAACTATAGTTAATATATAAAATTGTCTAGTAGATGAACGAAGGATTAAAATTGAAAAATTGTTTTGGGACAAAATGACAGCTATTTGACACTAAGATATTTTTTTCCGACTTAAAAATTGCTCATTTTTTATTAAGTAAAAAAAATATTCATTAAAAAAAATCCTTCGTTTATCTACTAGGTTTTTATATGTAGAAAAAGCCTGTAAAATTTCAAGCAAATCGGTGTAACGGTTTTCGAAATATCTTGCTCACTTTGAAAAAGTGATTTCGAGAAAAACGCGTTTAAGGATGTACAAAGTAGCTGAAAATATTGACGAATATATCCACTGTATTTTTGAGTATGAGAAATTGTGTGGAATATTATAATTTGATCTACAGTGCAGAGATATATTTTTTAATATTTATTACGTTTTTACTGAAATATTCCGAATTTTGTGAATCGAAATGATTAACTTTTGGTAGAGAATTTCGCTTTGACAGATACATGGTTAACTTCATTGAATTATATTTAATATCTTTTTGACCAGTTAGTACTTGTATAATATTATTTGACCAAATATTTCCTCCGTATCTAAACTTTTGCAAATTTTAAACAAATTCTGAATATTATTTCCGTGTATGTTTTTGTCATTTGAATCGATCTAGTTATATGTTTCCCATAGGAACACATGTTAATTCGATGCAAATTAAAATCCTTATAACTTGTGAACGCTTTAGTGAATCGATTTAAAAATTTTATTAAAGATTCTAAATATATGTAAGGACATTCTGTACAATTTTCATTAAATTCTCAATATTTTGAAAACAGATACAAAACATCTTTAATTTTTGACAGAGAATTTCGCCTTGTGACAGATGCATTAACTTCATTGAATGATATTTAATTTCTTTTTAACCAGTTAGTTAGTACAGTTAACTTGTGAACGCTTTAGTGAATTGATTTAAAAATTGTACAGAAGATTCTAAACATATGTAAGGTACATTCTGTACAATTTTCATTAAATTCTCAATATTTTGAAAATAGGTACAAAACATCCTTAAGGTTTGCGTCAAGTTTACGTTTAAATAAAATGTAGATTTTTTAATTTACACAAAAGGAAGGGTGAGGACGCGTAATTGTATGAAAAATTTCATCCTCTTTATACATCTTCTTAATAATGGAATGAAATATGGATCGATATTTTTTTCTAATAATTGACAAAGATTTTTCGAGCCACACATTTTCGACCGAAAATCCGTTACGATCGAAATGGGCAAGTGCCTCTCGGCGATGGAGATCGCGCTGGCCCTTTCGTGGCACGTCAAATTACCGGCCGTAAACGACCGTGCATGGATTATGATTCGCGCGATGCAGCCCGTGAACGCATTTGCATGTGTCTGTGAATGCCCGATGCGAGCTCATTAGTCAATGTCACTTCGGTTCCTGTAACCGACCGAGAGCGGGGGAGAGAGAGAGAAAGGGAGGAAGGGAAAAGAATCGTCCCTCGGTATTCTAATTTAGGCAGCGAGTCGTGCATAGTTCCTCGTTGGCACGCGGCTTTCCCGATAGCTGCGAGGAAAATATGCGCATTCGTTAGGATATGCGAAAAAATTCGAGAAATAAACGTCCGCGATCGCATTTATCCGCGATCGGACGCTTTTGAATATCGCGCAGAACCGCAATTTACCGCGAGACACTCTTATAA